GTAAAAACTTTATATATCTATTTATTTAAAACAAAAGGATTACTGGAATATTGTGCCTAGAGTCATCAGCTTATATTACTTTTAAATTTTAACATTACCTTCCAGATATTACATGTTTGGCTTTCATTTCTTTATCAACTAACACAGGAGTATCAGGCAAATTGCTTCCAATTTGTGCACCATGAGCATTAGTAGCCACCCTGTTGAAGATTACCCAAAACAGTTCATAACTTAAATGCCTACTATTCAATTGTTATGGGAAAGTTCACTGTATCACTCACCCTTCAATTGCTGGACGTAGACGCATGGTATCAATCCTTTTGACTCCAGATGAGAGAGGTTTTGCTCCTATTAATGATGGCTGACACATTTGAGATCCAGCTTCTTCCAATCTCTTAGAAACCTTTGAGTGGAATTCTCCACTTTTGCTTTCATTTGTCAGCGTAGCTTTATCAACTGCAGATTCACTGCATCAATAGAGGGAAAATGTAAATGACGAGTTGATACTAAAGCTCAAATGTTTGCTTCGTATCAGAGGTATCTACACAGTTCAAGAGCATACCTGTTATACATACAGCTTAGAGTCTATTCGTTATAAGCAATTTTTTTTTCCAATTACATTATCATAAGCATTTGCAAGTACTTAACTCAAAAATTAAATGGTTCTATGCATTTCTCATAGTTTCAGTAATAGATGCACTTGATTTCTGATTATTGTTGGTTTCTGTATTTTCAAAACCATTTTGACTTGTGACAATTTCTACTTCTTATAGTTCAAAACATAAGTCAGTGACTTGAAGGATGGAATCAATGAAACAAAGGGGGCAGCTATCAATATGCTCAAAGATTTTCTGACCTGCTCTCTGCAGACAAAGGAAGCTTTAAAGTTGAATTTTGGTCATCCTTGATACATTTGATGTTATGTAGTGTCTTCCTTGAGACGAATGTATTGGAATTGTCTTCGAGATCTAAGTTATCTATAGCTGATTCAGCATTCTCAGTCGAGATATCACTGCCTAACTTTGGTTCAGCGTTTTGTGTAGATATGTCACTGCCAGACTTACACCCATCACCATTATTGCTATCTGTATTAGCGATGTTTACTGAAGATGAATCCTTCAAAGGCAAGTCTTCACTATTAGGACCATCCCCTGCTGACATTTTCTCATCAACATCTTCTTTTCCACTTGAAATGGTATTCAAATCTGTGATCTGAAGACAACCATCATTCTTTCCTTCAAAAACGGTACTTCCATTTGAATCAACTCCCCCTACAAGTTGACCAGACAGGTCATCTGTTGCTGGCTTACCATATGGTTCTGTGGCCATCGCCTTCTCAGATAAATGAATTTGCTGATCTGATTCTTCAACACTGTTAGTTACTACTTTTCCTGGAGACCTTGGACCATGTGGAAGTTTCAGATTTTCTGATCTAGGTTTTGATGGGCAATCATCACTGATAGAATTAACCTTGCCCGAAACAACTAATGAAGTATCAACCTTTAAAGGGGCCACTCTCACAGAACCACCATCAAGTGTACTAATCTCTTCAACCAGATCAATTTTAGAGCCCTGAGGTCCTCTTCTATCAGAAAGAAACTCTTTTCTGCTATCTTGATTCTTATTTGAACTTTTTTCACTTTTCGTTAAGCTTGAATCAAGATCGAAATCACCCAACCCACTTCCAAAAAAGAAAGTGTCAGGTTCAAGTACATTTACATTCCTTATGTAATTCAAATAACAAAACAACAAGAAAATGCAGATTGCAGAGCTTACTCATTGAAATCAAAAGAGAATTTAAAGGGGTCTTGTTTCCCTTGACGGTTTCCTTTGGAAGGTTCTTCTTCAGATTTCTCCTTGGTTTTTGCAGCTTTTCTGGGCGGGCTTGAGAAATCAAGGTCTGGCATGTCCATTTTGAAAGACGATATCTTGCCAAAGTCACCATCCAGATTGAAATCCATATCCCTGAACAAAAAGGAGGAAAAGGAACTTTATAAGAGTTGTCTGGGATTTCTAGACTCACACTAGCATACATTTATTGGAGCTGTATCTGTATAACTGGAATAAGAATACTTGAATCCCAATTCTATCCTCCTTCTCAAAACAATTTGCCACATACTACCCTGAGTACCAGATACATCAACAAAACTCATAAAGGTAGATAATTTGCCCATGATAGCACACAAAAGTGTCACATAACTGTCATGCAAACCTCTAAATATAAGGAACCTATTAAATGTTTAGCAAGAAAATCACTTCACAGTACTTACAGCTTCTCAAAGTCAAACACCTTCTTCTTGCCTTTGGAGCCTTTGGAAACTGTATCAAAGCCAAAATCCATTCCGTCATCTTCCATTACTGATATTGATTTCCAGGAGGTGAGAAATTCGTCTCCAATTTCCTCATCTGTTATAAGAGGAACATAGGATCTGATTACATTGTTCACGTCAAATGAAAAATTCAGGCTATTAACTCTCACTCGGACATTCTTCTTGTATACAATGACTTACACAGCAAAGATAAAGGTTGAGGGTAACCAAGAAGATACCTAGAAATGAACTTTTTCCTTTTTGATTAACCGAGGAAGTTTTTGCCTTCTCTGATTCTGCCATAGTCTCAGAGTTGTAGACTTTATTGTAAACCTCTGCAAACATTCAGTAACTGTCACCGCGTATTCCAAAACAGAAAAAGGATTTCAGTCCTTGTCCACATTAAGTATTTTCCATCCTACAAACCGACATTCTTACAAAAAAAATTTAAAGAGGACTGAGAAAATAATAAACTTCATTTTACAAAAACTTGTAATGATCAGTATATCACATAGCAAAGCTAAACATGATACACACAGAATTAAATCCATAGTGTAAAATAAACTGTTAACTGCTGTGCCTTTATTAGGAAAATTCAGTGATTAAGCAGAAAAAAATTAATCAATTGACAATTAAGGACTAAAATCGAAACGATAACCAAAGGATCTAGCCAAAATATAACTCTCGCCTAAATTTGAATAAAAAACGGTTAGCAGTAGGAACAATAGCACATTAGAAAACATGAAATTAGAGATTAACGGAGTAATCTAGATATCAAACATGACTCCGCAGAGAGAGATTTGAAAACTCTACAAATCGAACAGTAATCTACAAGATGAACATATGGAATTCAAATTCGAGCAATTCTACGATCTACCAGAAACTCAACATTAGGCTCAAACAAGAAATCGATTACATTCTACTTGCATGCAATTTTCCGAGAAATAAGCAAAATTTCCTGGAAAATACACGGAATCGATCAAGAAATGCACGAAACGAACATAATGGAGTTCAAAATTCAAGCGATTCTACAAGCTACCAGAAGCTCAACATTAGGCTCAGCAAACAAAGAAATCGATTACATTCTACTTGCATGCAATTTTCCGAGAAAATAAGCAAAATTTCCTGGAAAATACACGGAATCGATCAAGAAATGCAGAAACGAAGGGCCACAGTTCAAAATTCAAGCGGATTTACTCGGTCCAGAAAACATTGCACCGCTCGCGAATCCGAAAAGCCATGTAAAACGAAACGATTAGGTATTGAGAAACTCACCGATTGCAGAGTCGAAAGACGATGAGAGAGAAACTCTGGAGGTGCGAGTTGTGAGAGAGAGCTGGTTGGCAAAATGATCCGACCAACCAAATGTGCGAGTATTTATACTTCTCCAAGTTTGAATAGGCGGGGGAGGATACCTGTGACGTATTAGCGAGCTGTTTTTTTTTTTTTTGTTAAACATAGTAAAAATCTCACTTAGCACCGCCTAGACGTTAGGCGGCTGATCACGTCTTGATTAATGTCTAGATATTTAAAAATTACGAAATAACACTAGACCAGCTGAGGTGCCTGCCTAGACCGTCTAGGCATCCGTCCAGACCCGCCCAAGTACCTACCTAAGTTGCGACTCACGTAGACAGAAAATAAATAACTTTCAATTTGCATTTAATTTTTTTTCAATAAATTGTAAAAAAACTTGTCAAATACTTAAATGAGCACACACTATATGCTTGTTTCCCATGTTTTCATTATGTTCTAATACTTCATAATACATATGTCATTCTATTTTGTAGTTTATGATGAAATTATATATATTTTAAGTATAAACACACTTATTTACACGAAATATAATAGATTTACTTAAATCCTCCTAGTTCACATAGGCGCCTGCCTAGACCCCACCTAACCTCCTAGGCACTAGGCCCCAATCTGCCGCCCGACTAACGCCTATGCGCTAGGTCCCAATCCGCCGCCCGACTAGTGTCTAATGTCTTTTAGAACCTTGATATTAAGCGATGAGAGAGTGGACTAAACCTTATAATAAACTTGTTATAATAATGTGGTTTAACTTCGCTCTTTAACCGCTGATTTGGTGCGCAAATACAAATCGATTAGTCGCCGAGTGCAATGATCCGACACTGGTTTGGCCCCGCTAAATTTGCCACATGGATTTCGGCCCAATTAAAAGGCCCACAGTAATGAGTGGTTGGAATTTTATTTTATTTTATTTTTAGAAAATTAGGGTGGTAGAAACTTGAAAGTGTGACGATCGGCGGAAATGGCATGCAACAATGGCCCTCAAATAAAGTTGACGCTGCGGCATGCTCCACGTCGCTCCTTCAAACACCATCCTCTCGACCAACCACATGGCCTTTTTTTTGGTAGAATATTTGTAGGTATTTATTATAATTATCATCAATCAGTTGATATAATGTACGTGAATATGTGAATTTAAAATAATTATCATTTAATTGTAGAAATCATAATTAAAGTAAAACACGTGTAAGTATCAAAAATATTTTGAATGCACGCAAAGTTTTGTATTTAATTCTTTGTTTTCAAATATCGTTATGCAAAAATGAAAAGAATTCGAGTTCCAAACAATACATTTTCTTTTTTGTATTGTTGGAATTAAGAAATGTAGATTAATTAGTGATGTGAGAGTAATAACTATTCTATATAAATCCCCACACCATAATATGTTGAACAAGAACCCAAACCTCCACCTACCAAGGAAAAGCAACCAAAAATGCAAATCAAAATCATCGAAACCAATGTCATCGTTCCATCTTCGCCACCATTCACCGACGATCACTTCCTCCAACTAACCCACCTCGACAACGACCCCAACCTCCGCGTCACCTTCCGCTACGTCCGCGCCTACCACAATACCAACTCCTCCCCCTCCCCCTCCAACCCCTCCCACGTCATCTCCGCCGCCATCTCCGCCGCTCTGGTCGACTACTACCCTCTCGCCGCCACTATCCGCTCCCGCCCCGATCGCCGCTTCGAGGTCGTTTGCTCCAACGGCCAAGGCGTCCCCCTCATAATCGCCTCCGCCGACTCCACTCTCGATTCTGTCGGATACCTCGATGACCCAGCTGCGGATTTCGTCGAACACTTGGCGCCCGACCCCAACCCGGAAGAGGCAATGTCCACCCCGTGTATGCTGCAACTCACGGTGTTTAACTGCGGCGGGTTCACTCTCGGAGCCGCCATACACCACTCGCTGTGCGACGGAATGGGCGCCACACAGTTCTTCAATGCCGCGGCCGAGTTCGCCCGCGGGGCGACTCGGGCGTCGGTTGAGCCGGTGTGGGACCGAGCGGGGCTGCTGAGACCCAGAGACCCGCCCCGAATCGGCGCACCGGTGCTGCACGAGTGTCTGAGTTTGGACAAGGGGTTCCCGCCATACGGACAGGCGGAGGCGGTGGGGCCGGTTGTTAGGGAGTGCTTTCATGTGAGAGACGAGTGGGTGGAGAAATTCAAGGGGGAGCTGTTGGAGCAGAGTGGGTTGAACTTCACCACTTTCGAAGCTCTCGGTGCTTTTATATGGCGTGCCAAGTAAGTTAAAGTTGCTTTATTTCGTCATACCAAATTAAGAAGTTTTTCAGTATTCCAGTAACATAACCTGGTACATCGAGAAATTTCTCATAAATTTGAACTTTGACCTTCAAAGCGTCTTAATTTCAGATTGTGGCACTTTAATGTCAGAACTTCAAGGCGTCGTAATTTGGTATTGTGTGGTTCAGTTTTAAGACGCTTTGAAATTCCGAGTCAGAATTGCCACAATCTCAAAGTTGTGACTAAAATTAATACTTTGGGTGATGGATGGCATGAAACAGGATTAAAGCCATAGGGCTTCCAAGTGACGAGAAGGTAACATTTGCATACTCAATCAACGTACGAAGACTAGTAACCCCTGCATTACCAGCCAGCTATTGGGGCAACGGCTGCGTACCAATGTACGTGAACCTCACCGCCACAGAACTAACCTCGAAGCCGCTTTCGTCCGTGGCGGATCTGATCAAGAAGAGCAAGAGCAACGCCACGGACGAGTACGTCCGCTCGTTCATCGACTTCCAGGAGCTGCATTACGAGGACGGGATCACGGCGGGGAAGGAAGTTAGCGGGTTCACTGACTGGAGGCACTTGCGCCACTCAAGTGTGGATTTTGGGTGGGGAGGTCCTGTGACTGTGTTGCCACTTTCAAGGAACTTGCTAGGGAGCGTTGAGCCTTGTTTTTTCTTGCCTCCGTCGTCATCGTCGGCGGGTGTGGGGAAGAAGGATGGGTTCAAGGTTTTGGTGACCATGAGGGAGAGTGCTGTGCCGGCTTTTAGAGAGGAGATGGAGAAGTTTGGCTGCCTGGAGGGCGATCTGCTGTCCCGAATTTGATGTCTCATTTGTGTCTCGTTCTTAATTTTTTGACATTCGTCTATTAATTTAACACCAATGTTAACACTGTTAATTTTTTATAAACTAATTGAAAAATTAAAAATTAACAGAGTTAGGTTAGAGTTAAGTGATAGTACACGTGCCAAATAAATAAAGAAGGAGACGTGAAGGAGACACCAGTTCGGGACAGCATACCCGGAGGCCGAGTTTGGGTTGCCTTAATGTTATGCAAGAATACTTTCACTGTGATATGTGCATTATTTTTTGTTATAATAATTCATCATCAATGTAATAATTATGGATCAACTATTACATCCTCTGATTAGGTTTTTGGGTGCTGAAAATACAACCAAAAGAGGTGACAAAACACAGTGAAAATAATGATAAACCACATTAGGTTTTTATTTGGGGTTTTTGAAGCTCTGTATATGGCACCATGTAGGGATGAATAATTGTTGTTCTGTGGTTCGGAATTGACGAGGTGAATTGTCGGCCGCTTCTAGTTTCTAGGTAGCTGCAGCAAGTTATCCCTCGTCTAGGTTTTTAGGGTTTTCTCTGTTAGTCATCTTTGGACTTCTGTTGTTTGACTGTTTGACCTCTTGTGGATGGTCTATTTGAGAATTGAAATCGTTTGATGTGTTTTTTCTTTATGTACTATTTGTAATTGCTGCAGGAAAAATCTTTAATCATACTTTATTTGTATACGTGACATATTTTTTCTGTATGCCGATCATTTTTATGATTATGTAAGACGTAATTTGTCCATTTGAACTTTTATTTTAGAATGTTCTATACCTTGTGACATAAAAAAAACACTGAAAATACAAAGTAGTTCACTCTAAGTGACGAATTACAACTAATTACAATTCATGTTACTTTTTTATCTTTTGTTTGGTATACGACAACACAGAGAGCGAGTAAACATACAAAATACGACAGAAAATCTATCCACTTATCCTTCAGCCTCACAAACCAATAGAAAGCCAGAAACCATGCCAAGCTCCAGAGCCGAAGAATTATACTCACACTCGAACGCATAGTAGTCCCACTCCCTATACACTTCTTCCATGGCGTCCGTACTCGGAAGTTGCTCGACGGCAGCAACTTTGGCCTCCCGACCTCTGTCCTCTAGCACTTACAGGACTTCAATTCCCTCTCTCTCTCTAACCCCAGGTAAACTTTTCCCACCAAACAAAGGAAAACCCAATTGTTTTTTTTTTTTTTTTTCCAGCATTTGGACCATGATTTGGGATTGTTTTCTGCAATTTGATTGAGTACATGAAATACCCAGTTCGTAATTTGGTGTTTGTTGGTGTTTTGATGGGAGATTTGAAGTGGGTTTTTGCTGGATAATGGTTGTGGATTGTTGTTAATTTGAATGGAATTGTGTTTTTGCATTGCAGGGAAGAGTTTTGGGAGGAAGTTTTATGGAGGGATCGGGATTCATGGAAAGAAGAGGTCTCAATTCCATGTGACCAATGTTGCCACTGAAATCAGCCCTTCTGAGCAGGTCTGAATTTTCTTCATCCAATTGCGGTATTTGACAACAAAATTTTGATTGGCTTTGATTGAAAAGTTTGATTACTAATAGATGAAGTTTATATTTTAAATTGGTGGTTCAGTTTTCTATAATGTTGGAGAAAGAAATATTTTTTGCATTCTAGATGTTTGTTGAACCGAAAATTTCGAGAAATAGTTGAAGTTTTTTCATTGGGAGTTATACATGTTATGTAAAAATATAGGTTGTTGAGTTTATGTGTGATTAATTATGGTCTGCCAAATTGTATTCAGGCAAAGAGGGTTGCTGCTAAGGAAAACCAGAGGCCGGTATATCCATTCGCCGCTATTGTAGGACAAGATGAGATGAAACTGTGCCTTCTGCTGAATGTGATTGATCCCAAGATTGGGGGTGTCATGATCATGGGGGATAGAGGAACTGGAAAATCCACAACTGTTAGGTCCTTGGTTGATTTGCTTCCCGAAATTAAGGTAGTTTCTGGCGACCCTTACAACTCGGATCCAGAAGATCCAGAGTCCATGGGAGCGGAAGTTAGAGAGAGCATTGTGAAAGGGGAGCAACTTCCTGTTATCAAGACTAAGATCAACATGGTTGATTTGCCCTTGGGTGCTACGGAAGATAGAGTCTGTGGAACAATTGATATTGAGAAAGCTCTAACCGAGGGTGTCAAGGCATTTGAGCCTGGCCTTCTAGCAAAAGCTAACAGAGGAATTCTTTATGTAGACGAAGTTAATCTCTTGGATGATCATTTAGTTGATGTCCTATTGGATTCTGCTGCCTCTGGATGGAACACAGTGGAGAGAGAGGGTATCTCGATTTCACATCCTGCTCGGTTTATTTTGATTGGCTCGGGCAATCCAGAAGAAGGGGAGCTCAGGCCACAGTTGCTTGACCGTTTTGGGATGCACGCACAGGTTGGAACTGTGAGGGATGCAGAGCTCAGAGTGAAGATTGTGGAGGAGAGAGCTCGATTTGACAAAAATCCCAAAGAATTTCGGGTTTCTTACGAAGCTGAGCAAGAAAAACTTCAGGAACAAATTGGTGCAGCTAGAAGTTATCTTCCATCTGTTCAGATTGATCAGGACCTCAAGGTGAAAATCTCCAAGGTTTGCGCAGAGTTGAATGTCGATGGATTGAGAGGAGACATAGTGACAAACAGGGCTGCAAAAGCCTTGGCTGCTCTTAAGGGAAGGGATAAGGTGACTCCAGAGGATATTGCTACTGTCATCCCTAACTGCTTAAGACATCGTCTTCGGAAGGATCCTTTAGAGTCGATTGACTCTGGTTTACTTGTCATTGAGAAGTTCTATGAGGTTTTTAGCTGAAGGAGATACTGAAAGAGCCCTTTCTTCTGTAATTTTGTTGGTAAGATTGTTTTTGTTTAACATTTTTACTATCCTGCTTTTATACCAGCACATTTAGGTTTCACCATTGATATGTTCTGACTACTGTGTTATTTCAAAACTTAATGGTCTATATTTTCGAGAAGCACGTATATGATACAATTTCTTGCCTATGGTTTCTCCTAATGTATTTACCATTGCACATTGACCTTTCGGTTCATAACTGGATCATTAGAGTTGGCCTTGTACCTTGTATAAGGCGAATCTTCCTGTAGCGGGATGCCACTGTACCATCAAACCAATCACATAGTGCCATGTGTTTTAATTCTTCCACATGACATAGCGTGATTGGCATGACATACCACTACAGTGGTATCTCGTTGTAAGTTTCTCTCCCGTACAGGGCGTAAGATTGTTGCTTTGTCAATGTAATATCTGAGAAAGTAGTAGTTAAAGATAAACAGCCACATTGAAGGTTTCTGGGATTCAACTTGAAAATGCAGATTGCAAAAACATGTAACATCACATGAGTAACAATAAAATGACATTAAAGTCTAGGGCATGGTGGTGCTCCCTGGCCACTCTTCCAGAACTTTGGCCTCCGCTCGAGAAACGCCGGCAGGCCGCTCATACACTGCTGAAGCAGTGCTTATCAGAAGGCCAGCAGTTAGGGCCCATATCACATACACTTCACCATCATCTGCTTCAAAGTCGAAGTAATTTAAGAGATACTTGTCTCCCATCCATTCTCTCTCCTCCTCTCTCCTCTTCTCATCCTTGAGAAACATTTCTAAAGGAGCATAAAAAATTGCCTCCACTTCTGCAGCATTTGGAGCCGGACTAAATGCTTTTATGTCAGAAAGTAGGCCAATTACCGGAACCACAATCACACCATGCTGTAAGATTTGAGGAGTCCGAATCCGAAAGCCATATTAGTGATGAAATTTGAATGAAATTATTTTGTGGGTTGTGATTTTTCTGGTGAAGAAAGAGTTTTGGGATGAATTATCCATTAAAAACGTTTAATTAAAAAATAAATTAGATTATATATACAAGAGTGCAGCTGAGCTAACCGAGTTTACAATGTGATCGAGAACGGAGACGACGTTGACTAGGGAAGGGTCCAGGCCGATCTCCTCCTTGGCCTCCCGGAGGGCGGTTTGCACGTCATCAGCATCCGCTTCCTCTCTTTTCCCACCGGGGAGCGCAACGTCGCCTGCAACCAAACACACCTTCCTTCAGTTATTCTTTACAAATGGATTATGGAGGAACTGGTTCTGCTACCAGGATTTGTTGAGGAGGCTGAGGGCGATCACCAGGGCTGGAAGACAGAGATGAAGATCGTTTCGTGAGAATGACGCGCAGCTCGCCGTCATCCCCTTTGAACAGACACACCAGAACCGCCGCCCGTTTGGTTGCTGAATCGGAGGTGGCGTAACCGGTAGGTGGTGGAGGTGGTTTGACTGATTCTTCAAGTCTGAAATGTTGTGCTAGAGTTTGGAGTCTTAGTTCAGCAGAACCCATTATTTTCTTCGCTCTTTCTGAAAAATAAAAATTGTGGGCTATATATAGAGAATTTATCATATATAATCAAAATTTAACCTTCAATTTCATAAATGTTAATTTTTATAAAATTATTAATTATGGCAATCAAAATACATGAATAGACCTAAATGTCCTAAAAAGAGTACAGCTGAGCTAACCTTGTTTACTGAAAGAGATCATTTCCGAATCTCTTCCACCAAGACCATCGGATCAAGTAATCCGGATCTTTGAAATTTGATCAAACGGCTAAAAACAGAGGTCCCTTTTAAAAGTTATAATAACTTTAGTCGTTGGATCAAATTTCAAAGGTCCAGATCACTTGATCTGGTAGCCTTGGTGGAAGAGATCCAGAGAGGATCTCTATCCCTTGTTTACAATTATGACAAAAAAAAAAAAAAATACACTCAGGGTCGTTTATCATATATCACGTGCAGTTAGTTTTTTATTAGGTACTATTTTTCTTTAATTTTAAATAAATAAATTCAAAATGATTTCTGATCGCATGATATATGATAACACGCCTAGGATGTGAGGATCTCTACGATCTCCACAACTTGGATTTGGATGCGATCCAAATCCATTCATAGCCTACCCTTACTCTAACTCCAACTTTGAACTCAAACTTTGGTCATGTGATGAATGTCATTGTCACCTAAAATTTTAGCCAACAAGATCCTCTTCAGATCCTTTTGGTGAGGATCATGTGAATTCGTAAATCGTGTCTGTTCATCGTACATTGTGCAGTCAGTTTTTATCAGATACTATTTGTATTTAATATTAAATAAAAATATTAAAATGATTTATGACCGTACGATGTATAATGAACGGACTGTAATTTACAGATGCCCAGGATCATCACTCAAAGAGGATTTGGCGAGGATCTAGATGCAAATTAGTACCTAAAATTTATTAATTATTGTGGAATGATTTTAACTCTAGTTTTTTTATAAGGAATTTTTTGTAACTTTGAGTTATTTTATCTTAATTTAATTTTACAAATGTTTTAATTTAAAAAAGGCTTAAATCCTGATAAAATTTTCAAAACCAAACAAATCACGCACACCAACCAACCAATTAACCAATCAAACTTCAATACACTACGAACCAAACTTCAATACACAAACCAATCAACCAAACTTCAATACACATACCAACTAAATATACATTTTATTATTTTGACCATTGGATTTAAATTGCAACTGTTGAATTATTTTTGACAGTCGGATTGAAAAAAAAAACAAATATAAACCGTTAGATCAAAATAAAAATATTACCAAAAAAAATCAGATTTTAATATGGACCGTTGATCATCAACGGTCTTGAAATTGAACGGCTCACAATTGTTTAAAGGAAGATCATATTCATACACTCCAAATTACTTCTCCCACACCTTTTTAATTTTTTTTTTTTAATATTTTTCTATAAAGTGTTAATGGTGTGTAGAAAATATTAAAAAATTAAAAGAGTACGAGAAAAGTAATTTGAAATGTGTAAATATAATCTTCCTTGTTCAAATATTACGGTTAAACAACTGGGGTCCTCTGCCACTTGGAGTCCAGCTGTTGCCCACTTCTCATTTCTTCCACCCGTTTGCTTTATGAAAAGTGGGGCCCCCAAAAATTTGGGTGCTATTAGAAACTCAAATTTGGATTTTAGTTTGACTCCAAGCCAAGTATTTTGTGCTTAGGTCTCACCATTCGATTGCATTTTGGGTTTAGGTCTGCCCTTCGGCATTGACCTTTCGGTTCATAAACTGAATCATTAGAGTTGGCTTTGTACCTTGTATAAGGCGAATACTCCTGTAGCGGGATGCCACTGTAACATCAAATCAATCACACAATATCATGTGTTTTAATCCTTCCACATGACATAGCGTGATTGGCATAACATACCACTACAGTGGTATCCCGTTGTAAGTAAGTTTCTCTCCCGTATAGGGAGTAAGCTTGTTGCTTTGTCAATGTAATATCTGAGAAAGTAGTTGTTAAGGATAAACAGCCACATTGAAGGTTTATAGGATTCAACTTGAAAATGCAGATTGCAAAAACATGTAATATCACATGAGTAACAATAAAATGACATTAAAACCTATGGCATGGTGGTGCTCGCACCACCACGCACCCAGAACTTAGGCCTGCGCTCAAGAAACGCCGGTGGCCTGCTCATACACTGTTGAAGCAGCCCTTATCAGAACGCCGGCAGTTAGAGCCCATATGACATACTCTTTACCATCATCGCTTCAAAGTCGAAGTAATGTAAGAGATACTTGTCTCCCATCCATTCTCTCTCCTCTTCTCTCCTCTTCTCATCCTTGAGAAACATTTCTAAAGGAGCATCGAAAATTGCCTCCACTTCTGCAGCATTTGGAGCCGGACTAAATGCTTTTATGTCAGAAAGTAGGCCAATTACCGGAACCACTGTCATACCGCGCTGTAAGATTGAGGAGGAGTCATAATTAGAATACACGAGTAATCCGTAATCAAAATCAAACTTCTTGTGTTGATTCCAATTACATATACCTAAACATGTTCGAAAAGAGTTATGAGAGTTTCCCCCTTAAAACTTATTTTCTCTCACTTAAAACCCATCCTCTTTGTTTTTTCAGACTTAAACCCCATTTACTAGAGTCCAACTAAGCAAATTTCCTCAACAAGCTTGGTATGTCAGTTTTTATAATTCTCACTGTTCCTAAAATACCCTCATAGAGTGTAACGTGGGTTAAGTTTGACTTATGATTAATAATAAATTTTGCATCAATGCAATTAAATGTCTAGTTAACCTATTGTTTGATTAGGCTTTCTTTTCTCAAATTTTTTTACCAACAATTGTTTTATCGTGAAACTAACCTACCTTATTAGCATGCAATATATAATATAAATAAAAATATTATGGTGTTTTACGTTGAAACATGGGCAAATAATTTGTGTAAAAAAAAATATTATACAAAATAATGGTTGTATTCTTTTTCTTTTCATAGAAAATAATTTACCTATCTATATGTTAGTATTCACTTAGATTAGAAATACTGTAAAAATAATTTACCTACCCCATAGGCGTGATATTGTAAAGAAAAAATGTATATGATTACTTTGGATATTATAATTAATTATATGACAGTATTATTTGTATAAGTAAATTAATAAGTAGATTGGTGAATTAGTATGTAACATCCCACATCGTCCAGTGGTGTGATCCTTATATGTATATTTCCATCCCTACCTAGCACTGAGGCCTTTTGGGAGCTCACTGGCTTCGGGTTCCATGTCCAGTGAGCTCCCAAAAGGCCTCGTGCTAGATAGGGATGATAATAAACATATAAGGATCACACCCCTGGGCGATGTGGGATGTTACAATCCACCCCCCCTTAGAGGCCCGATGTCATCGTCGGCACACACGTGGCCAGGGTGAGGCTCTGATACCAATTGTCACATCCTGGCCCAGGGCGGACCACTTCCTGGACCCGCTCCACCACTGTAGCACGATATTGTCCGCTTTGGGCCTCAACTACGCCTTCACGGTTTTGTTTTTGGGAACTCCAAAGTTAAGTGAGTAGCACGCGAGAGCAATCCCAGGATGGGTCACCCATCAGGAAGTTCTCGTGTGAGTTCCTAGAAACGAAACTGTGAGGGCGTAGTTGGGGCCCAAAGTGGATAATATCGTGCTACGGTGGTGAAGCAGGTCCTAGGAAGTGGTCCGCCCCAGGACGGGGATGTGACAAGTATGTACTACAAAAAATGCTGATAAATTAGCTTGTAATTAACAAAAGAATGTAGGTAAATTAGTGAATTTTTAAAATATAGGTAAATAGTTTGTATCAAAAGAATGTAGATCAATTAGTTTGTATAAAAAAAAATGTAGGTAAATTAGTGAATTTTTAAAATATAGGTAAATAGTTTGTAACACGTGGTTTTATAACAGGAGATCATTGCTCATTGCTAGCATAATTGAAGGTGAGTAATAATAATATTGACATGTTTAGGTGTGGCATAAGCTTGTAAATGTTTTATAAGGATAGGTCATTTATTTGCCAACATGACAGACTATTTGAATTTTTTAGTTTTATTTAGATGTTTAATATGAGATAGGTTTTTGTCTAGACGATAATAGTTTTAAGGATCTATATCTAAACAAGAAGTTTTTTTTTCCAGTCAAAAAATGCTTGCCCCACCCACCTACCCTTCACAACCACCATGAACATTTGAAGATCTTAACCGAAAAGAGTACAGCTGAGCTAACCTTGTTGACAATGTGGTCAAGAACGGTGACAACTTTGACCTAGGGAAGGGTCCAGGCCGATCTCCTCCTTGGCCTCCCGGAGGGCGGTGTCCACGTCATCAGCATCCGCTTCCTCTCTTTTCCCGCCGGGGAGCGCAACGTCTCCTGCAACCAAACACACCCTCTTTCAGTTGTTCTTTACAAATGGTGGAACTGGTCCTACTACAGTAATGAGAAGCGATTTGTTTTGGAGGCAGAGGGTGATCACCAGGGTTGGAAGAGAGTGATGAAGATCGTTTCGTGAGAATGACGCGCAGCTCGCCATCGTCCCCTTTGAACAGACACACCAGAATCGCTGCCCGTTTGGTTGTTGAAGCGGAGGTGGCGGAACCGGTGGGTGGTGGAGGTGGTTTGACTGATTGTTCGAGTCTGAAATTTTGTGCTAGAGTTTGGAGTCTTAGTTCAACAGAACTCATTATTTTATTCAAGGCTTTCTTTCTGAAAAAAGAAGAAGATACTTGTGGGCTATATATACCCTTCCCTTACTCTAACTCCAACAACATTAAATCAACATTAAATTCTAATAAATTTTCAAAACCGAACAAATTACACAAACCAACCAATCATCCAAACAAACTTTAATATACACACCAACCAAATTTTAATACATAAATCAACCAACCAAACTTCAATACACACACCAACCAAATATTTATTTCATTATTTTGACCGTTGGATCTAAATTGCAGCTTTGTGTTGGTATAGAACTAAAACGACGATTTTTTTTTTAGCAAACCATCGATAGTGAGGTAAATAGTATTGCAGGAATGACGACCATTTCCAGTACAAATCGATAGTGAGGTAAATATTAATGCAGGAATGACGATCGTTTCCAATACAAATCGATACGATTCGTTGACAATAATTTATGGGATTGTCTTATTTCTATCTACAACTCTTAGTAACCTTAAAACGGGAATTTTGCTCCACAAAATTTGGTGGCCGTTTGTATACAACTGATGCGGCCCTAATCAAGATACCTGCAGTTAGGCCCCAAATCATGTACTTCTTGTTCTTGGTTTCGTAGTCGAAGAAATGGATCAGAAACTTGTCTCCCATCCACTCCCTCTCCTTTGACGTCCGGTTTTCATCCTGAAGAAAACGTATACAAAATGATCATTAAGAGATCAAAAGACAACTACATAATCTGTAATCGGAGTATGAAACTAAAAAGAGAGAAACCTTGAGGAACATTTCCAAGGGAGCATCGAATACCGCTTCCACTTCAGCAGGATTTGGATCCGGCTTGAATGCTTCCTTCTCATTAAGTATGCCAATAACCGGAACAACCCTTAGCAGATGCTGCACAGAAATCCAAAGGTTAGCTAAATCGAGTTCCTCATCCAAAATAGTCTTTCAGAGCTACAAGTCTGACACCGAAATCTGCATTATACATCGCCCCTAACGCCTATGTACCCTATTTTAGAAGTCATTCAAAGCACTTACTCAACAAATCAGACAAACTACACTGCTCTTCCCCAAGACCAACTTCTCAAATTTTGGACTTGTGTGCAAATTATGGATTTGGAGGGTGTATCTCGATAAATTAAGATGCACATGATTAAAATTAGTCGATATTAAGGACGTGTACTTAACAGATCAACAAGAAGAACGAATGAGTACATTACAAACTAATGGCCGTGTCAGCCAGATAATTCTTAAAGAACACCTCCAATCTACCAATATGATTACTCAGTTTTTCCGAAAACTAATACCCTAAACCTTACATTCAAACTCATTTCGAAATCAAACGAAAAGTATATGATAAGTCCCGAGCCTTTCTTTCTAGTTTCAACTCAACTCAAGTTCCCAACTTTCACCTTCCAATACAAAGAAACTAACGCATCAATCTGCAATTTCGCAAACAACACATAATTCGACTAAACAAGTTCTGTGTCCACTCAAATGCACACATTTGAGCTCAATCAAACTTAAATTTGAAACAAATAGTGATCAAAAGATCAAACATTTATACCTTCGATAAGAATGGTTCAAGGACTGTCACAACATTGACAAGCTTAGGATCCAAACCAATCTCCTCTTTCGCCTCCCTCGTCGCCGTGTCCCCATCGTCCTTGTCCCCCTCCTCTGTTTTCCCACCCGGCAAAGAAACTTCACCTGCAGAAACACAAAACAAAAATTAGAAAAACCAATCTTTCCCATTTCCTTTTTATCAATTTCCCCAATTTTCTCAGGCACCAAACAAAGGGGTAATCAAAACTCCACAAACCCGAGTGAGTGGAAAGCCCCGACGACCGCTTAGTGAGAATGACGCGCAGATCGCCGGCATCCCCTTCAAAGAGACAGACCAAGACGGCGGCTCTTTTGGGTCTGAACTTTTCTAGGTCCCTTGCAACTGGGGTGTCGGATTCGGCAAAACCCACCTGGGACACGACCTTGCCGGCGGTTTCTTCGATTCTTTGCTCCTCAATGTCGTCGTCGGAGGGAAAAGGCGGCGGCTTGTAGAGGCGGAGCTGCTGGGCTAAGACGATGAGTCTCTGTGAGCCTCCGCATGCATTGGGCAGCTCCATGAGTAGTGGCAGGCGGTGGTAATAGCCTTCTGAGGATTGAGATCATGGGCTGCCTTCTGCATATTAATCATAGTAGAAGAAGAATACTAGTGATTGCAGATCGGCGGTTTTTTGTTGGCACACGAGTCACTGAGTCAGCATAGGGCCATAGGCTATGGAAATGGTCCCAAACTTCTCATTTGAGCTGCCTATGTTTTTGGATCTAGATTGGAAAGCCTCTTAAAACTACGATCGTTTAGTCATTAAACTATATAAAAACAGATTAACAAAATTGAAAAAAAGGCATTATGAACCGTCTAAGTATTTTTTGTTTGTTGAACAAACGATATTATCTACATTAAATGGGCTAGCAATAATATGATTTAAATTCACATTTGGCGATAATCGAACCTAAGACTTCTAACTTACAAGTGAAGAGAAATATCACTAGACCGTAGTACTAAAACTAAGGTCGTTTAGTCAATTTATTGTAGCAAATACATAGGTTATTTAGTAGTACGATCTAGTAGTATTTCTCTTCACTTGTGAATGAGATGTCATAAATTTAATTATCGCCGATGGTAAAGTTAAACCACATTATTATGGTAAACCCATTATAAGGATTATCTCACTTTCCCACATTCTTAGTGTAGACACAATCATTTGTTAAAAAAAAAAAAACAACATATATCATAATGTTACATTCGTTCAATGTCTGGTTTGTGCACAAATCGAACCAGCCGCCCCCTAGCTAGTATACCGAGCCGTAGTGCTTAAAATAATGGTTGGAAAGGGATCCGGAGAGGATCCCTTCCACTAAGTACTTCTCATCAACTAATTTGGACTCTTGAAATTTGATCCAACGACTACAAACAAAGACACACTTTAAAAGTTATAATAACTTTAACCATTAGATTAAATTTCAAAAGTCTGAATTGTTTGATGAAGAAAATTTGGTGGAAGGAATCTCGAGAATCCTTTCCACAATGCTGCACGTAAAGAGCAATAATATCAAGTGGTCTCCTCCCGCATGCAATATACCGTCTAAAGTTGCAGCAAGACAGTAGTACCGATACATTGTACCCAACTTCTTTTTCTTTACTCCTCTGTCGCAACTCAGCTGCGCATGCCGTCCTTTTGGTACAAACTAATTTCAGTGCTGACTGTTGTAGTCCTCGATCACAAGAGCCTCGGTTGAATACATTATCTCATACAGAACAAGCATTATACCTTCCAACCTTCCGTGTATATGCTATTATGGTGCAATACATATTGATCTTAGCAATTAGGGCTCACATCTTCTGGCGATTCCTTGATTGCACTGATATTGTTATCAATTTTACTACTTAGGGTCATAAATGGTGTGATTAGGTAAATAATCAGCGTGAATTTTATGACGAATAAAATTCAATTTAGAGAGTTTGCTAACATTTATATACATTTTACTCATAGTGATATTTTTTCGATATAAGATAATTTGCATTTGATCGATAGTTTCTAAACTCTAACTAAGAGAAATTCTTCAGTCCGGAGACCAAACCAAGTGGCTCATACGGGCCCACACACAAAAATCATCCGTTATCCCACTTCCTTATTTTTTCATGTTTACCTGGCTCTATTTGTGTCCCACCTCCATCTCACACAACACCAATGACCCATCATCAACAGTGGTCTCAGACAAGAACCTCTCCTAATCTAGAGTTTAGAGGGTCCCATCGAAAAGGTGATGTGTCTAGTTGACTAGCTTTTGAGGGCAAGAGTTGCTTGCTTAACAAGCAAATGGAGACATGAACTCCTCCCAAGAAGAAACCAGACCAAACCAACACATGATTGACAGTAGTGTCCCTTTTGTTTGTGGAATTTTTACTATCTTGTCTATCTTTACCACTGTAGGGTTTTACTTGTGACCAGCTTTCTGAAAATCCACCAAGAAAAAAACAATCTGACTCAAACTCGATAGTTAATTGCAGCATATCAGGTTAATTAAGAGGTGTGACATTTGCATGATCAAGTCAGCAAGTAATTAGAACTAGAGTTGGCGCCAATATTCCTGTTTCATGCAGGAGTTTGGAGCTGAACAAGTAGGAAACAATTTAGAAACCCTACTTTTCTGCATTAATGTTATGCTTAGCTTTTAAAAGGCTATCTTTATGATCTCTTTTACTTCCTCAGACTGTGTCATGCCTTCTTTATCAAACATATCTCTCGTTTCATAGCTCGAAAATTTAGAGTACGTAAATATTGCATGGTGTGTGATGAGTTTAACAGTTAGATGTGCGCTGAAAGATCCGAGAGAATTGAATGGATGAATCTGAGCAACTTTGAAAGCACTGTATAATGTACATGTATATATAGGACTTTTCACCCCTATATCGCTGGACTATTTGCACTAGTGTCTTCCATAAGAGAGAGAGAGAGAGAGAGAGAGAGAGAGAGAGAGAGAGAGAGAGAGAGAGAGAGAAAGTTACAACAAAGAGAATCAAAGAATGCGAAAGAAGAGAATGAAGATTATCACCATGTTCAAGACTTGATGGCTATTTCAAAATCAGCATTCAAGCAACAGCAGGTCGACAATACGAGATATGGAAAGATTGTGAGAGTTCACGGACGCCACATTGTCCGATCCATGGCAAGAAAAGACCGTCGCAGCAATGTTTACACTTTGAAAGGTCCGAGAGACAGGAGGTTCCGGCTGTCACCTCATACTGCTATACAGTTCTATGATGTTCAAGACCGCCTTGGCCATGACCGCCCAAGTAAAGCCATTGATTGGCTCATTGAGAAGTCCAAAGCAGCAATTGAAGCACTCTCTGGGTCTGAACAACCTTGCCAATATTACTATGATTGCACTAATAGTAATGTTTTAGGTCAGCAGACTGAGCAAGAAATTGGAGAACAAAGCAAGCATCAGTTTTGGAATCACCCGGAAAGCAATAGGGAGCTGGGAACAATGAGCAATGGGAGTCCCATGAACAATGTCAACAATTTTAAAGAACCGGTTTTCGATCCTCACCAATTAAGTTCATTGAACTATGCTGAACAAGCCCTCGATCCCACATCAAGTTTATCGGATTCCAAAGTCACGGAGATGGGATGGTTTCAAAGTTTGGTGGCTTGGAATTATAATGCAGGTGATGGAGGAAAAATTTGTCCTTACAATTCATCGCATGTATCTCTTCAATAGCCATATATCTTGTCACAAGTTTTATTTGCTTCAAGTCTTTTGAATTGTATTTTTAGTTAATTTTACAAAACACTGTTTCCATTGAAATCCTAGTCTATCTAAATCGGATTGAGTTACATTTTTCAGTTATTTTTTGTCTGTCTTCTTCTTTTTCTTTCCATTAAATTTTTTGTCCAATCTAAACTACTAAGAGAGGAATTCGAAGTTGGAGTAGAAGGTAGAGAACAGTTCTAATTAACTTGACCGAAGTTCAAACCCAAGTCCCCTTCCCATTACCTTGTTTCTTTAAGATTTGGAACCTAAAACTTGGGGGCATGGAAGAGCCAACTAGGCAACAAGCCGTAGGAAAGATTACAAGAAAATTGTGATAAGAAAATATATTGAAATAATATTCTTCTAATAAGCACGTAGACAATTAGGCTAAGGTGTGGGTATCTCATACTTTTTTAAGGAGATTCAAGCCTATTGTGGTTTGAAAAAATCCACGAATCAGTGCAATAGTCCAACAAATCGTTGTGTGACGCAAACCTATTGCATGAAAGGAAGAGTCCAAAGCTACATCACACGAACACCCTTCTTTGTCCGGTAAGTAATAACAGAAAAGATGGAAATAGAGATAATAATTGTTGTAGAAAAAGTTGGGTAGTGGGACAATGAATAAAAAAGATGACGGAGAAAATGCTACTAATTATAGATTTATTATCATCCGTAGTGAGTAGGGTAACAAACACGTAACAAGGAAAGAGTTATAAGAGCTAATTTTCCACTAACAACAAATAATGCGGTTATAATTAATTAACTTGTTTAATATTAAAAATGTACAAACACCAACAACCTATGGCCTTGCCAATAAAAAAGATAGATGGACAGCCAATTATTAAAGGCATTAGTGAGCATTAGAGCAATCTAATCTTTAATTATGAAAACTTCATAAAACAACTGTATTTTCCATTTGTAGGTGCAGAGTCATGTCAACTAATGTGTGAATTATTAGTTACAAGGAAGACTAATGAAATTTTTTAAAAATTTTGAGTTTTAATGATAAAGACAAAATAAATAGTAAAATGAATAATACCAGGATTGACTTTTTAGTATAAAAATGTGATTTTTCGTTGAAATGAACAATATTAAGAACTTTTCGTTAAAGTTCCCTTAATTCTATCCTCTTTTGTAGGCCAAGGACGTAGAATTTAATGAAACATATACTAGCCTTTTGAGCTTACTTAAAAAGACTTCAAGAGATTCTCGCATATTTGTTAGTATCTCTTATCTTACGTTAATACTAACAAGGGATATATTATAGCACTATAAAATTCCCCTCAGTTTTGTTTTAAAGATCGTTCTTATCGCGTTAAGTGCTCGTCTGGATTTACGCAGAAATTTATGAATCGTGCATCAACAAGAACTGCTGTTATTAAGAATGACACTTGGATTGGGAGTTAACCACAAGCACACCCTTACCAACTAAACCAACTCTCGTTGGCAAAATAACTCTCCTAATTTTTACACTTCACTCAAAATCTAATGGACTGAATCGAGGAAAAAGGGGACCTTGAACTTCAGAAAATGAATAATTAAAGAACACAAAGTAGTTCAAAGAGCAAAGATTTGCAGCAACACAAGTCATTTAAACATGCTGGTGAAAAATCTGAAAGACAACAACCAGAGTACTTTCTAATTACAGCGTGCGAAAGCACAGAATAATCCACCCCCAACAAATATTTTGTCTATTTACAGTATAAATAGAATATTATTTTTCTTTCAAATATACATTAATATGAAGAACAGAGGGAAAAAAAAGAAGAAAGAATCATAGAAGGATGTTCTGATCAGCCCTAAATCCAGGTCCTGCTCGAAAATCCGTTACTGCACGCGCAAGCACATTACTTCCACACCACTCCATGTACAAGAATCAGAAATGACCGCGTATTTTAAAGAAAAATGGCTCTTCCCTCACTTTTCTGCAGTTTGAATCCATAAGATACTCAAGACATTCTTATTTAGTTTCTACCATTGGATCAGAACCACCAACAAAGTCGATATTCATTTCGGAGTGTTTTTTTCTTCAGTTTTAATGCCCTCTGCACTTGCCGCTGTTTTTTCTTCGACAGCTGAGTAAGACAATCTCCGAGCCTTTGTAGTTGCCTTACCATTTGACGAAGGAAGTTTAACTATAACCGAAGATTTTGGCGTTGGTGAATTTATGTTCTTACCAATTGGGCTTGCTTGCTTACTCTGCACTTTCCTTGGGCTAGGTGACTGCACACGGCTTTCCCAGGGGCGAGCAGCAATCCAGCGGTCCTTCCAGCTCCAACCCCAATTAGCTTTACTGAGTTCATAATTACCCAAGATTTGGCTCTGACTGCAGTTGGCCCTCCACTACAAATCATGGAATATGTTTTCCATGTCAATTGGTTCAAGGGTCAAATCAACAAATAAAGGACAAACATGAGAAAATAGTATACCTGATGAGAAAATGCATATGCCATAGCCCGCTCACGTTTAACTGCTGCTTCTTCTCTTTGATATATCCTTGCAAGAACTTCATCCATTGTTTCAGAGCCACCACACCATTCCGCCTGTCACCCATTAAGACAACTAATCAATGTTACTATGAAATCAAGCATGTGGCTGATGAGATGATAGTTCTGTAGCACGATTACACCAAGATTATGAAGAAACTTAAAGAATCCTACTATAAATAAATTTCAAGTCCGGCAAGCTAACAGATATGGAAGCTGCTGGTCTCACCTCTATGTCATGAAGCTTTGCCTCAAGTTTTTGCTGACTCTCTATTTTCTTCTGCTTGATCCGTCCTTCTGTTACCATACAGAGTCGGCGAGCTTTAACCTCATCTTGTATTTTACTCCACGAATGAAGATAGCCCAATGTAGTCGTAGCTTGCTTAGTAATAGGAAAAGCTTGGGTCATTAGTTGCAATTTTACAATCCCTTTCAAACGGCGTAAAGCTTTTCTAGCCTGCAATTGGTGAAAGAAAATCTTAGGAACCTAAAAAACCATCGTAACAAAAAGTTCTCCTTCATGCATGAATGCCTAAATTGCTCTCCATCTAGCATGAATGGGAAAAAAAAAAAAAATTCAATGTAATAACATCAGTCAACTTTGTTACCAATTCCTCATTGCTCATCAAGATTCGAACTAAACACCATTCACTAAATAAGAAGAATGCAAAACCAAAGACATAAAACAAAATTTCACAGAATCACTGTGTAAAGAACACAAACAGCATCAAAATTTTATATATTTATACACTTTAGTGCACATATACATACAGCATATGCACGGAAAGCAGTTTGAATCCGAATTGCAGCTATATCCTCAATTGGCAATCCAAGATTTTGACCATTCGCAGAACTAGACTTTTTCAATTTTATGGAACTTGATTTTCCATGAGCTGACGATCCCTGTCAGAAAAGTAATGGCGGGTGAGAAATTACAATTTCATACTAACATCAGTCTTGCGACATCACGTATAAATTCCTAGCCTTTGCTGCTAGTAGCAAGCTACCACTAAAGCATAAACCACACATTCACTCATATGACTCGATTTAGCTTAAATTTTTTTGTTCATGAAGTAAAACGGTAGTATAACTCAGGTATACTATGCCAGCAGCAGTTGGAGAATTGGAATCCTAAACCTTCATACACTACATTTAAGATTTCCAAATTCCTAACCCGATTTCCTTCTTTATTTTGAAACAAAAGAGATATTTTAACGTCACTTGATTTCAAATTTTCAGTTGTTGGTCAATACTAATTACTGATTGATATGTAAGATCAAATGCTCCAGAACTGTATTTCAATTTCGGAATAAAACAAATATAATGATAAGTAGGATAAACTTTACAGTTGCAAATTGCATATCGTTACCAATAGCTAAACAATGTAAAGCAATTTCAGGCTCTATACCTTCAACCGTTTTGAATTGCCATCCTTTGCTTTGTTTAAGCCGATTAACACCTTAAACCAACGCCCGGAACCCATACCTGATAGTGAAACTCTGTATCCAATTTAACATAACCCTACCAGTTAAATACAATCACCATCAACATTTAAGCAACAACAAGGATTTAACTTTGAGCATGCAAAAATTGTAATTTTCTTTGTCCTCTGAAATCAATCCAATTGTGTTAATGCTTAAGCATACATTATCCAATAGCAAACTGAGAAAACCACAATATGCTAACTGTCGACCAAACTACATAACCTCACAGTACTGCCTATTCACTCTCATTTATTCCTTCTGCACTCTCTTTCGTCCCTTGATTCTCCTTCGATGCTTATTCAATCCGAAGGCTAGAACAGGAACGGAGGAGTGCATGACTAGAAAATGAAAGCGCGAAAATCACTTCTCTAAACGAAAACCAATTGAAGTCAAATGCAAGACACAACCATATTTCTAGGAAATTATCAGAGTGTAAACTGACTTCCATACCAATCTGCTATCTATAAAAACCCCTTATGCATTTAACAACCAGATACCACCCATATCTCCCAAATGCACAGAAGGGCTGTCCTCAAATCATATTATCAACTCAAAAAGTAAGGCAAACAATGCAAAACCAAAGAAAACAGCATCTGGGTAAGACTCCCATACCAGAGAAGCAGCTTGAAATCTCCAAGAAAACAGTTTTCTTTTTTGTTTCCGGGAAATGGGTGCTCACTGCTCAAGATTTTGGAGGAAAAAGGAGGTTGTTGTAAAAGAAGAAGTAAGGAAGAAGCAAAACCCCTGAGAAAGGTAGGAGAGAGAGGAGAGAGAGAGAGAATGATTAAAAGGTGGGTGTGGTGGAATGTAGATTGCCATGGCCCATCACTCTCTCACAATTTTTTTTTAAATTAAATTAAAAATCTTGCAAAATACAAAATTACAAATCTTTCATATAATATAAAAATGAATCTTGTACTTTTGTTTTATTTAATTTTCTCACACCTCAATCATAGGCTCAACTAACGCTATTACAACTCACCGTGTGGGGTGGGAGTGGTGGTTTGGGGAATGAGATTTATTTTGGATTTTTATGTTTAAAGTAAGTAAATTAAGAGATTCGAATTGTTCAAATTTTTAGATTTTTGTGAAGTAAGTTAGTGAGATGGACTAATAAGGATCGTAATATTGAAATTGAGTGATCCAAATTTTTCATTCCACAAACTCTAGACACAAAGATCTGGAGTAGATCCCAATTCGTGGTTTGTAGGATTTGAAACTTCAACAAAAGCAGGCTACAGCGATGGCACAACAAACCAATATTGTCAATATCATCACGGTCTGATTGAGATGTGCTGCCTTTCTATTTCTCTGAATTTCGTCATCAAGCTTCAATCTTTACCAAAATTAGAAAATAAAGGTTAAAACTTTCTTCATTTTGTTAAAAATTATGCAATCCTTTTACAATACTCCAGACTATCCAGCGCATAAATCATCACCTTATCATACAATGCACGTTTTTCACTATCTTAAAAAGTGTGGGTGACTAAGAAGGTTCATGCAATGCAAATTTTACCTGTTGAGGTTGTTTGGGAATTCGGCAGGATTCCAATTGAAGCTGGGGATTGGATGTGAAGTTGGAAAATTTGGTAGGAGATGTGATATTTTTGTTTCCTGGTGATTTCAGTATAATTGGAGAGAAACAAAGGTAGCTCCACATGCTTCTACAACCCCTTTTTTGTGGCTTAGCACTCTTTTAGTGTGTTAAACAAGTTTATGGTCAGATTAATTTTTAAGAAAATTTTGCTTTATTAAAAATCTGAAATATCGCTATTGTGACTTAACTGGATTCATCTATCTTATTATCAACAATTGTCGTTTATGAGAATTGAATTCAAGATCCCTTAAAAAGCAAGTGAAAATTGAAAGATGCAAGACCAAATGGTCATTTGCTATTACATACATCTACTACTCTTCATGGACCTCTTCTTAAGACTTGATTTACTCAGACCTAATTATGTTAAAATGGTTTGTTCGAGATTGTATTAAATACATGTAAGTATTGTAACCAATCCCAATTCTTATATGCCAACTTTATACTGAATTATAGCCAACAAACGGCAAACTTGATGAGAAAAATACACTCTTCTTTAGACTTGATTTACTTAATCCTAATTATGGTAGAATGGTTTGTTCGAGATTGTATTATACACATACAAGTATTGTAGCCAATCCCAATTCTCATATGCCAATTTTATACTGAATTAGCCAACAAATGGCAAACTCAATGAGAAAAATACTAATTAAAAATGTAAAATCAGACAATTGGTCCCGACAAGGCTCAAACTTGTGACCTTCATCTCATAAGAGCCACGCTCTAACCAACTGAGCCAAGGGACCAATTACATTTTTTAATTTTTTCTAAACTTTATTTAAGAATTAATTAAGTGCTAATCACCATACGTACGTTTCTTAATGCCAAATTGCTAAGTTTACTTGTGATCTTTATGTTTATGTTTTTATTTACAGTCTGAATTATATTTTCTGTAACATTTAGATATTGGCTACAATGAAAAGCCTATTTTGCTGTAATAATATTTGGTGTTTACCACCAACAACTATCTTATACGTACCATCCGATAACAGTGGTAAGAAGAACATGTAAAGTTTGAGTTTGATTAGTCATGAAAATGCTAGCTTAAGACCATCCGATAACAATGGTAAGAACATAAACCAGCAGCAGTGATATGGGGTACAGAATATATGCTAGAATGCATGTCCACAATGGGAACCTTCTGCTGAAGCTTGCAGAAAGACCAACCGCTATCGAAATAATTAAAACAACTAAAACTTCAGCAGCCACATCCCATGATAAATTGCGTATGTAAACAAGAGCCAAAAATATGACCAACCCCACAATATTGTTCATGAATGCCGCGTTGTAAATCTGCAGAGAACAGTTCAAATGTCAGATGATATTGATCATATGGAGTTGCAGTGCTGTGTTTATGGGAAGTATTAGGGACGGACTTTTGGAGTATAAATCAGGGAGAAATAAGTGTTTGACATCATTAGACGCTCAAGTGTGTGAAGTAGTTAGAACAATATATTTGAGTTTATGGAGAGAAACAGACCTCAGAAAGTGTCAAAGAGATGGCATTCTCCGTCTTTTCTTTGGCAGACGATATAGACATTAGCGCCACTCTGTAATTTGTAGCCAAGGGTATCACAACATACGAGGTCGTGAAAGAAGGGATGCTTGCAGCAGTGGAAAACTCTTGGAGACCTACCATGAGGGGCATTGAAAGAAAAGCCGTTATGGCAGTTCCTAGAATAATTAGAAAAGCGGCCTTCAGGAGATTCATCCACGATGTATCAGCACCCCTAGTCTTCTTTTTCTTAGAGATCAGCGGTGTCTGCTGATCTTCCATAGATGTCTCATTCTGCAAGTGCAGTTTAATGACCCGAATGAAAATCTTGTTTTTCTAAGCATTCAAACATAGTCCTATCAGGCAAATGCGGGTGTAAGAGCAGATGTGCTCATCCCTTATGCAGGTAATTTCAAGTCCCTCTTCCCGATGTTTACATTAGTTAAAGTAAAATAATGCTTGTGTAAAAAAAAAAAAAACTTGTCCTACCGGGGCAGAATTTATACCTTGGAATTATTTCTTCTGAAAAGCGATCTATGTTCATTATCTTTACCGTTGGCAGGGGCCTTATCTGGATTAATCCATTTTGAGAGTCCGTTCACAAACTCCGTCTCAGCTATTTGAGCGTCGCCAGAGAGATCAAATTGCTTCATCACTTCTTCTGCATAATCATCATCATCCAGACCTATTGCTTCTATTTGTATTCCTAGGATCAATGCTCTAAGTTCATCTGCTGATATGTATGTGTTATGATTCTTGTCTATTCTATGGAACAGCCTGCAAATAAATTTAGAAAACGACTAAATGATGAGATCATGGCATTTCAGCGGTTCAGGTGGAGTGAACTAAAAACAGAAACCGGGTACTTACTCTTTTATACTGGATTCATTAGCGTTTCCGTCTACTGTCAGAAGACCCAGCAGAATTTTCGGTATGTATTTACGCATCAAATATTCAAGCCTTCTGCTCTGAATCCATGGTTGAAAGAACTGCATAATTGCTTTCTATCAGTTAAGAAGTTCACGAATACAACATTTCGAACTTTTGTACTTTGTTCATCGTTTCTTAAACAATCAAAAGTCTTTCTCGGATTCTTATTATTTCAGTATGTTAATTATTTCATCTTTCATCAAACTTTTACTATCATCTAAGTATCGCCGAGGCAGATTTAATGTTCTTGAAGTTGTGTTACCTGGTAGATGATGTAAGTGGCAAGGATTGCAGATGCAATCAGTAGAGAAATTAAGATCACAACTCGAACCGCTGTGGTTGAAGTCAAGATTTTTGCCAGTTGAAGAACGAGAAATGGAATCAACGAGAGCATCATGATTCTTGCAGTATCTCGGGTTTCGACATCCGTTCTTACACCAGAACCTGCACAACCATGTTTACTTACACATGAAGTTATCATATTTTAGACCTTTCTCTCAGTGAGTGTTGATTAGTGTTTGTGGAGATCAGAGAAGAAGTAAACCAGTTAAACTGAAGGGGTTCTTATTTTCTGACTTTGATGAAGTTTGAGAATCCGAGAGGTCGGAGCTACCGAAAGCAACAACAGAACCCCAAATTAGGGTAAGAATCATGATTGTTGATCCTGCAAGCATGCTCATGTTCATTTTTGCCATTTCCTCCGCAGTTTCTGTAGTTGCTGTAATTCCAGTTACTGAGGAACAAAATGTGAATTGTCGTTATGAATTTACAAGACATAATACATGTCAAATGTATTACTTTGATTTAAAAGTTAAGACCAAAACTTCTGAACTTTTCTCCAAATAGTCAAGCAATTACTAGAGAAGTCAAAATCATTTAAACTATGCAAGTGGGCTTTTACCACATAGATGGAAAGGTGTTGAGCTCTTGCATGACGACGTGGGTTCAAATTCAATCGGTGACTAATCTAACAAAATATATCATATGACAAAATAAATTATTTAAACTATGAATCTTTAATATTCATTCACACTCTCAACACGCTCGTCGTGTTAAATATATAGAGGTGAGCAACTGAGCCACAAAATTAAACACATGAGTTGTTGAGATCAACTATTCAACACATGAGTATAGTTTTAATACCATCTATATATATAGAGAGAGAGAGAGAGAGAGAGAGAGAGAGAGAGGTGAGCAACTGGGCCACAAGACCCAATATAATTAAACTTTTATGTAAAACTTTAATTCCTCGAAGTTAGATACCTCCCAATATATAAGATTATGGTCATCACAGTTTAGGTACTTTTTTTTTTTTTTTTCCCGTAAATTTTCAAAACTCTCTCTCTTATTTTACCTGCTCTGATATTTTTATTTTTGTTGACATGGTAACATGGTCGGGGATTTGCAGAGTTGTTACCTTTTGAATTCATTGTATATACCTGATTAAATAAAAAAGAGAGAATAGACTCTAAATATATTATTGTTTTAAATAACTATTATTTCCTTTATTGTATTCAGAAAAAATATGAAGCTAAGAAAAATGAACCAAGCTGGCAACATTGACTAATAAAATAGTCTCCAACTTTTTGATGGATGAAGACTCAATCTTTGATGACTTACATTTTTTATAATTAGTGCAATTTCGCTAATTAATAACTATTAATGCCAGTGAGAAATACGGACTATTCAGGGTTTTTCTTATTCTTCAAAATGGGGCTTTAATTGTCTATTTCTATGAAATGAAGAACAATATAGGGGAGAGGAAGACGATCGATGAACTAATAACAAACAATACAAGCTGAGGTTTGAGAAGAAATTAAGGATCTTACCAAGAACCACTCCAACTTGTGGAATCAAGCCAAGCAGGTGGAAAGCACTAGCACCAAAGATACCAGTCCCAAACAATTCAAAGAAGATTTCAGATCCTCTTGAAACGTAATGATCTGCGAGTGAGAGCAAGACCTCGTAAACGATTATCAGAAAAAGCAAGCCCCAAACTGAAGTTGCACAAGGCAAGAAGCCATAACTTGGTTCACAAGTCACAGAATCTGCTTTAAGATTCAGAGCTTTGACGAACGAAGATTGGCTTGTTTCGTCGTTTATTCCATCGGATATAAGACTGGAGTCTCTAACAACCCGGCCGCTTCCTAAATGGACTAGTTGGAGGACCAGAAAAATGATGAACAGAGCTGGTCTTGACATATCCAGAGACATACAGCTTTGTAATGAAAAACTATTACAAATGAGAAGGAAACTTGGTGCTTGATTAGGTTTAAATGGAGATCAATACTATGCAAGTTGTGACATCAGACAAAAATAGGCAAAAAAAAAAAAGCAAGTTGTTTGACATTAGCAAATCCCTGTCTAGATTTTGAACAATAAGAACGAAGGATAATGTGGCAGGTTTGCAGAAAATGCTGCCTGCTGACTAATTGGATTTTTTAAATAATTTAACCAAATATTCTATACACTTGCCCCACTATCCCATCAACCGTTGCATAGTTTTGGATATAAGTAATGAAACTATTTAAATACAAATGCACACACTAATGAATAAATTGAATAGTTTATTGAATTATGTATATATAAGTTATGTCAGTTGGTTATGACAATTTACTTCTTACACTTAAATATTAAATTTTTCTTCTAATAAATTACATTAGTTTAAAATATATATCATCTTATGATTCTTATCATTCAAAATAACCACAATGTAGAAACAAATTAATAACTGTAAAAATATCAATGTAATAAAAAAAATTAATCCATATGAAGATTCACCAGTGAGCTGTAGTATTGGCAGGTCTCTTTCATTACCCTAATTGTCCGCGGAATCTACTAAGATTTTTCAATGCCAACTCGTAATTTAAAAAAATGGTTAAAGAACGTGGGCTGCGGACTGCATTGTGCATCGTAGACGTGGATTAATTTTAAATAAAGTTAATGTTCCACTATAAAACTAATTAGTTATATAAAGAGTAGTCCAACCTCTTATACACATGCCCCGTGGAGAGCGTGTGATCATTTAACTTCACATGTAAGACAACTTGCTCTAATACCATAAAGAAAATTGATGTTCTACCATAAAACCAATTGGTATTAGAGAAGTAGTACAATCTTTTATAAGCTCAGCCAAGGTCCCTCATCCCATTAATGTGGGACTCATTCTCAATAGATTTTTGGAGAAGCAATAGCTTGCTTTCTAATTTTTTTTTTTTTCCTTCATTAGCATGAGGATCTTTGTATCTGTTTGGACTCGATTTTACATTATCGGCCCGAGTAATTGAGGCTGTTGAATGAGCAGAATATTAGATCGTTGAATAACAAAGTGGTTGAAATGATTTTTAGTTATTATTGAGAAATAATACTGTGATTTTAATCATGATATTATCTTTTAATAATATATTAAATTATTTGGGGTAAAGTACAAAAAACTACCTAAACTATTGGTGTCACGACACTTTCATACCTCATCTTTAGAATTTGGTCCAATGTCATACCTTCCGTTACTTGGCCGTGAATTTTTCAATTAAATACTGACGTGGCTTGATTCGGGGCCCACTTTCTATTAAAAAATTATTAAAATATTATTAAAAACTAAAATAAAAAATTATTTAATATTTTTTAAATATTAAAAGAAAAGTTTTTTTTTAAAAAAAAAAAAAAAACCCTAAGTTTGTCCCTTCCCCCCCTCTCTCTTTTCCCCCATCTTCATCTTCTTCCCTGCTTACTCTTCAACAACTAAAAAAAAAAAAACAAGTCCAGTTCATCCCTGCAACCCAGAAGAAGAAACAGAAAAGAAAAAAAAAAAAAAAAAACTGTCCAGTTCGTCACCGCAACCCAGAAGAAGAAGAAGAAGAAGAAAAAAATAAAAATAAAACCTGTCCAGTTCGTCCCCGCAACCCAAAAGAAGAAGAAAAAGGAAGAAGAAGAAGCGGAAAAAAAAAAAAATAAATAAACATGTCCAGTTCGTCCTCGCAACCCAGAAGAAGAAGGAAGAAAAGGAAAAAAAAAAAAAAAACAGTCCAGTTCGTCCTCGCAACCCAAAAGAAGAAGAAGAAGGAAGAAGAATGAAGAAGAAGAAGAAGAAGAAGAAAAGAAAAAGAAAAAAAAACCAGTCCAGTTCCCTGCAACCCAGAAGAAGAAGAAGGAAAAAAAAAAAGAAAAAGAAAAAAAAAAAAAAAAAAAACATGCCCAGTTCATCCCCACTACCCAGAAGAAGGAAGAAGAGGAAAAAAAAAAAAAAAAAACCAGTCCAGTTCGTCCTCGCAACCCAGTAGAAGAAGAAGAAGAAAAAATAAATAAATAAAAATAAAAAAAAACCAGTTTTACCCCCCCCCCCAAAAAAAAAACCAATCCCCCAACCCGCAACCCAAAAAAAAAAAAAAACCAAACCCAGTTCCTCCCCCTGCCAACCCCAAATCCACCACTCTCACCCCATCACGAAGGTTTCCCGATTTCATCTCAATGAGATCTAGGTTTTTTCCTAGTTTTTATTTTTTCTTGGATTGCAGATAGTGGTTGCGAGTTTAGGGAAGACGGGAAGGGGGAAGAAAGGAAGGAGGGTCGGGGAAATCACGACACCATTTATTTTATCTTTTTTTTGTTTTTTCGGGTTGCTAGTTGGGCACAGGTGGGGGGAGAAGAGGGGGGCAAAGGGGGGAAGACAAACTGAGAGTGGGTGAGGGGGGAAGACAAATTTGGTTTTTTTTTTTTTTTCCTTCTTTTTTCTGGGTTGCAGGAAGGGGGCTGAAAGGGGAAAAAAGATGAAGATGGGGGAGAAGAGAGAGAAGGGAGAAAGGGGACATGGGTTTTTTAATATTATTTTTAAAATTTTTAATTTTCTTTATTATTTTAATATTTAAAATTTATTAAATGATTTTTTTTTGTTTTTAATAATATTTTAATAGAAAGTGGGTCCCGGATCAAGCCACGTCAGCATTTAATTGAGAAATTCACGCCAAGCTAACAAAATGTATAACATTGGCACAAATTCATAAGATGAGGTATGACATTGTCAATTTTAAAAGATGAGGTATAAAAGTGTCGTGACACCAATAGTTGAGGTAGTTTTTTGTACTTTACCCAATTATTTGAACCTAATATTTGTCTAAATCCCAATTGATTTGAATAATGGTGGAATATGGAGATATGCATGATATCAGATAATGAAGCATTTAAGACAGGATGATAATATGACTTCACTTAGAAGCTGCTAATGGAATTGGATTATGAACTGATTATTATCCATTTAAAATATGGTGATAAGTAGTAAAAAAATGAATTTGAAATTCATTTAGACGGGGATGAGGATGCACGCAACAATAGGGTAAAAGATGATGCTTTGGGTGATGATAAGAAGCCTAGGTAAGCTAGGCTTTTGGTGATGATGTGATTCCTAGATAGGCTTTTTATTTTGTTTGAAAAGTCACGAATGGGAAGGATAGATGACATACGGATCAGTCTTTCTTCCTAGAGATTTTACCCTCTTCCCTTTTCTTCCCACCAACACATCTTCAATTTCGATAAACAGCACTGTGAAGGCAACCGACAACATCTTCATTTGGATAGACAACATTGGAGCCGTACAACACTACTTCAAGACTGACTGATTATTTATCCAAGTCTCGGTCAACAAGGATTTCCGAGTTCTTGTTGGTAGAGGTCATCTTATCAGCCTTCTTGGCAAAGTGAGGTGTTACCAGGTTATTACATTCGGCATATTGAAAGCTGAATTTGAAATTGAATTTCACAGGATTAGCAGCCTTATCTTCAGACTCTAGAACCCGAAGGCCGAGATGTGTTCCTTCCTCGGCCACAGTCGCAAGATTAGGATGTCAACAATGCGCTCGACGCCACATCAACATATTAAACTCCCCAGCCAAACTCAGCTGACGAGTTGGCACGCCCCGCACACAACCGAATGACGTAATTAGTTTATTAATTACTTGGTATGTGCATCACGTATGCTAGGTAGTTTTTAGGATCAATAGTATCGCATGCATATGACAAGAGATTTGGACTAATATAAAGATAACCAATGACTACAACAGTCTTCTTTTTTCATTAGCAAAGCGGTATCTTAAATTATTTTAACATTTACGGTATTTTAAGTTACTCTAATTTATAGATATATTTGCTGTAACATTTAGATGGCTACAATGAAAAGCGTATTTTGCTGTAATAATATTTGGTAGTCGCGATACTGCTGGCTTAATACCATCCGATAACAGTGGTAAGAACATAAACCAGCAGCAGTGATATTGGGTACAAAATGTATGCTAGAACGCTTGTCCAAAATGGGAATTTTCTGCTGAAGCTGGCAGAAAAACCAACCGCTGTCGAAATAAGTAAAACAACTAAAACTTCAGCAGCCACGTCCCATGATAAATTTCGTATGTAAACGAGCGCCAAAAATATGACCAACCCCACAATGTTGTTCATGAACGCCGCTGTGTAAATCTGCAGAAAACAATTCAAACGTTAGTTTATATTGATCATATGGGGTTGCATTGTTGTGTTTTGCTCACGGAAAGTATTAGGGACTAAATTTTGATGTATAAATCGGGAGAATAAGTGTTTGACATCATTAGACGCTCAAGCGTGTGATAGTAGTTAAAACAATATATTTGAGTTTATGGAGAGAAACAGACCTCGGAAAGTGTTAAAGAGATGGCATCCTCCGTCTTCTCTTTGGCAGACGTTACTGACATTAGCACCAGCCTGTAGTTTGTAGCCAAGGGTATCACAACATACGAGGCGGCGAAAGAAGGGATGCTTGCAGCAGTGGAAAATTCTCGGAGACTTACCATGAGGGGCATTGAAAGAAAAACCGTTATGCCAGTTCCTAGAATAATTAGAAAAGCAGCCTTCAGGAGATTCATCCACGATGTATCAGCACCCTTAGTCACATTTTTCTTAGAGATCAGCGGCGTAAGCTGATCTTCCATAGATTTCTCATTCTGCAAGTGCAGTTTAATGACCCGGATGAAACTCTAGTTTTTATAAGCATTCAAATTAGTCCTATCAGGCAAATGCGGGCGTTATAGCAGATGTGCTCCTCCCCTATGCAGGTAATTTCAAGTCCCTCTCTCCAGGGTTCACATTAGTTTAAAGTAAAATATTGCTCGTGTAAAAAATATGTATTAGTATAGTCCTACCGGGGCTGAATTATACCTTGGAATTATTTCTTCTGAAAAGCGATCTATGTTCATGACCTTTATCGTTGGCAGGGGGCTTAGCTGGATTAATCCATTTTGAGATTCCATTCACAAACTCCATCTCAGCTATTTGAGCGTCACCAGAGAGATCAAATTGCTTCATCACTTCTGCTGCATAATCATCGTCATCCAGACCTATTTCTTCTATTTGTATTCCTAGGATCAATGCTCTAAGTTCATCTGATGATATGTTTTTGTTATGATTCTTGTCTATTTTATGGAACAGCCTGCAAATAAATTTAGAAAATGACTAAATGATAAGATCATACCATTTCAGTGATTTAGGTGGAGTGAACTAAAAATAGAAACCGGGTACTTACCCTTTTATAATAGATACATTAGGTTTTCCGCCTACTGTCATAAGACTTGGCAATATGTTTTTCGGTATGTACTTACGCAGCAAATATTCAAGCCTTCTGCTCTGAATCCATGGTTGAAAGAACTGCAAAATTTTGTTCTGTCAGTTCAGAAGTTCACGAATACAACATTTCTAACTTATGTAATGTGTTCATCATTGCTAAAACAATCAGTCTTTTTCGAATTCTTATTAAGTTATTTCATCATTCATAGACAATAAATCGAACTTTTACTATCATCTAAGTATCGCCGAGCAGATTTTATATTCTTGAAGTTGTGTTACCTGGTAAATGAAGTAAGTGGCAAGGAATGCAGATGCAATCAGTAGAGAAATTAAGATCACAACTCGAACCGCTGTAGTTGAAGTCAAGATTTTTGCCAGCTGAAGAATGAGATATGGGATCAACGAGAACATCATGATTCTTGCAGTATCTCGGGTTTCGACATCCGTTCTTACACCAGAACCTGCACAACCATGTTTACTTACACATCAAGTTTTCATATTTTACAGCTCTTTCTTTCTGTGAGTGTTGATTATTGTTTGTGAAGATTAGAGAAGTAACCAGTTAAACTGAAAGGTTTCTTATTTTCTGGATTTGATGAAGTTTGAGAATCCGAGAGGTCAGAGCTACCGAAAGCAACATCAAGTAAACCAGTCAAACTGAAGGGTTTCTTATTTTCTGGATTTGATAAAGTTTGAGAATCCGAGAGGTCGGAGCTACCAAAAGCAACAACAGAACCCCAAATTAGGGTAAGAATCATGATTGATGATCCTGCAAGCATGCTCATGCTCATTTCTGCCATTTCCTCCACAGTTTCTGTAGTTGCTGTAACTCCAATTACTGGGGAACAAAATGTGAATTTCTGTCATGAATTTACAAAATATAATACATATCATGCATATTTCTACTTTGATTTAAAAGTTACAACCAAAACTTCTAAACATTTCTCCAAATAGTCAAGCAATTACTAGGCAAGTCAAAATCATACTATTAATCCTCTAATACTCATTCACGCTCTTAATATGCCTTGTCACCTGTAAGGTTACTTAAATTTAACACGTGAACAATACATATTAAACGCCTGCGTATAGTTTGCTCTGATGCCATAATATATTATGGTCATCACAAATTAGGTACTTTTTCTTTTGTAATTTTCCAAAATTCTCTGTCTTCTTTGTACCTGCTCTTCATATTTTTATGGTCGCGAAACAATTATAAAATGACAAACTATGAAGCTATGCACCTAGATTTATAGCATAATAAACTTTATAGAGGAGAGGAAGTCGATCGATGAGGTAATAACAAACAATACATGCTGAGGCTTGAGAAGAAATTAGGGATCTTACCAAGAACCATTCCAACTTGTGGAATCAAACCAAGCAGGTGGAAAGCACTAGCACCAAAGACACCAGTCCCAAACAATTCAAAGAAGATTTCAGATCCTCTTGAAACATACTGATCTGCGAGGGAGAGCAAGACCTCGTAGACGATTACTAGAAAAAGAAGCCCCCAAACTGAAGTTGCACAAGGCAAGAAGCCAAAAATTGGTTCACAAGTCACAGAATCTTCTTTAAGATTCAGTGAGTCGAGGATCGAAGATTGGCTTATTTCGTCGTTTGTTCCATTGGATACAAGACCGGAGTCTCTAACAATCCGGCCGCTTCCTAAATGGACCAGTTGGAGGACCAGAAAAATGATGAACAGAGCTGGTCTTGACATATCGAGAGACACTTAGCTTTGTAATGAAAATATGTCAATGAGAAGGAAACATGGGGCTTGGTTAATTAGGTTTAAATGGAGATCGATACCATGCAAGTTGTGACATCAGAAAAAAATGGATAAAAAAGAAAATATCAAACAAGTTATCTGACATAAGCAAAATCCATCTTTTCCTTCCTCTAAATTTTGAACAAGTAAGAACAAGAGTTGGTAATGTATAGAATGTGGCAGGTTTACAGAAACAACTACCTATTTGGATTTTTAAACAGTTTGACCAAATTTACTTCTATACTTGCTCCACAATGACATTAATTATTGCATACATTTTGGATATAAGTAATGAAACTCTCTAAATATAAATGCACACATTAACAAATACCTTGACTAGTCTACTGTATTGTGCGTATACAAGTTAGGTTAGTTTGTCTCAAATATCAAGTTTTTCTTTCCGGTAAATTAGAGTAGTTTAAAATATGTATCATCGGAGTAACGAAATATATTATATTGATGACAAGCATAACAAGTATTAGCCCCAGGAGATTCATGTGAAGATTCATAAGAGAGCTTTAGTATTCGTACGTAGGTCTCTTTCATTATCTTAGCTGTCTACGGAATCTGAGTTACTTAATCAAAGTACTAGGGTTTTTCAATGCTAACTTTTAATTAAAAAAAAATATGGTTATAGATCTAAACATGGGCTGCAAAGTGGTAGAGGTGGGTTGAATTTTGGTGAAGCAAAAGCTTGTTTTCTAGGTTCCCGACAACTATAATAGTCTTCTTTTTCTTATCATATGCATGGGATACAAAGGTCCTCGTATCCCATGCTGATGCAGTGCATGGGGAACAAATATATTTAAGGATGTAGTGACTTCTCACTTCTCAAAATCTTTGTGACCTTCTCTTTTAATTGAATTGCCTATCATACTCTTAAATATTTAGTATACCAATGCTTTGTAATTTCCCTATTTAAAGGGCTCCATATGTATTCTTAAAGTAGTGAAATTAGTGAATTAAAGTTAATCTAAGAAGAGAGTGAGTTTTCTCCTCCTTAAAATCAAGTGTGAGACTTGGTCATGTCGAGTGAATCTACGATTAGCGACGTGAGTGAATTCATTGCCCCTGGTCGAGTGCTTCCCGGGTTCCATCTCCGTAGAGATGTGAGTGATTCCGTCCCCCCTGGTTGAGCGATTCCCATGTTACTACCCCTTGTCTTTTCGAGACCTTGGTCTTTTCTGCATCAAGTGGCATCAGAGCAAGTTCTCTGCTGCGGAGTTAAAAGGAAAAAAAATGGTGTTGTTGATTCTACACTTCTTCAAATTTCAGTTCTCTTTGTCCGATTCACCCAAAAGGTTACCTATCATTGGAAAGGTCTAGGAGTCCACTTTCCAACAGAACAGACAGTGCCTCAATCAAATTTTTTTGCAGCAATTCGATAGCAAATAGTGAAAGGTGTACGTTTTGTGCAAAATCTGCAAGGCGCGGTTTCTTTTTCAACGAAGAGATATACCAGCATCTTGTTCCAATGAATAATATTCAGGTAAATGAAAGCCACTCTAGTATGTTATTTATGGAGGAAGATCTGTTTTATTCCCAAAGAATTGATTGGAATTTACCTCCACTATATGCTGAGTATTCGGAGGATGGTGTTTTGATGATTCCTATCCAAACAGTTGCTAACGTTGAAGTGAATGTTGAAGAACATGCTTTGATAGATATTTGCAGCTTGGAAAGTTCAGAATATGAAGGATTTGGATTTTTTCAAGATGAGAAGATTGATAGTCCAATGTTAAGTTCATCAATAATCTACATGCATGTAAAATTGTGGTCACGGCCAAGTGATGAAGGAGCTGTTCGAATTTGCTTTTTAATTCTCCAGCACATTGTTAAAGATCAAGTTTTGGGGACATTACAACCAATGGCATATCATTGGGAAGGTCGAAAACCTAAATTCAAATCAAGATTAAAAAGATACACAAACCCAAGGACGAGATTTTTGGAGAAGAGTAGAATGATGCAGTGCATGGGGAACAAATATATTTAAGGCTTTAGTGACTTCTCATCTCTCAAAACGTTTGTGACCTCTTTTAATTGAATTGCCTAGTAACTATCTTACTCTTAAATATTTAGTATACCAATGCTTTGTAATTTCCCTATTTAAGGGGCTCCATATGTATCCTTAAAGTAGTGAAATTAGTGAATTAAAGTTAATCTAAGAAGAGAGTGAGTTTTCTCCTCCTTAAAATCAAGTGTGAGACTTGGTTGTGTCGAGTGAATTCATGATTAGCGACGTGTTGGAGAGATGGAGAGTTTATATTGATCATTTGCTCACGGATAGTATTAGGGAGTAAATTTTGATGTATAAATCGGGAGAAATAAGTGTTTGACATCATTAGACGCTCAAAGTGTGTGAAGTAGTTAAAATAATATATTTGAGTTTATGGAGAGAAACAGACCTCAGAAAGTGTTAAGGAGATGGCATTCTCCGTCTTGTCTTTGACAGACGATACAGACATTGGCGCCACTCTGTAATTTGTAGCCGAGGGTATCACAACATACGAGGTCGTGAAAGAAGGGATGCTTGCAGCAGTGGAAAACTCTTGGAGACTTACCATGAGGGGCATTGAAAGAAAAACCGTTATGGCAGTTCCTAGAATAATTAGAAAAGCAGCCTTCGGGAGATTCATCCACGATGTATCAGCACCCCTAGTCTTCTTTTTCTTAGAGATCAGCGGTGTCTGCTGATCTTCCATAGATGTCTCATTCTGCAAGTGCAGTTTAATGACCCGGATGAAAATCTTGTTTTTCTAAGCATTCAAATATAGTCCTATCAGGCAAATGCGGGCGTAAGAGCAGGTGTGCTCATCCCTCGTGCAGGTAATTTCAAGTCCCTCTTCCCGATGTTTACATTAGTTAAAGTAAAATATTGCTTGTATAAAAAAAAATACTTATAGTCCTACCGGGGCTGAATTTATACCTTGGAATTATTTCTTCTGAAAAGCGAACTATGTTCATTATCTTTACCGTTGGCAGGGGTCTTATCTAGATTAATCCATTTTGAGAGTCCATTCACAAACTCCGTCTCAGCTATTTGAGCGTCGCCAGAGGGATCAAATTGCTTCATCACTTCTTAGTTCTTCTGCATAATCATCATCATCCAGACCTATTTCTTCTATTTGTATTCCTAGGATCAATGCTCTAAGTTCATCTGCTGATATGTATGTGTTACGATTCTTGTCTATTCTATGAACAGCCTGCAAATAAATTTAGAAAACGACTAAATGATGAGAACATGGCATTTCAGCCATTCAGGTGGAGTGAACTAAAAACAGAAACCGAGTACTTACTCTTTAATACTGGATTCATTAGCGTTTCCGTCTACTGTCAGAAGACTCGACAGTATCTTTGGTATGTATTTACGCATCAAATATTCAAGCCTTCTGCTCTGAATCCATGGTTGAAAGAACCGCATAATTGTTTTCTATCAGTTAAGAAGTTCAGGACTACAACATTTCTAACTTTTGTACTTTGTTCATCGTTGCTTAAACAATCAAAAGTCTTTCTCGGATTCTTATTATTTCAGTACGTTAATTATTACATCTTTCATACACAATAAGTCAAATTTTACTATCATATAAGTATTGCCGAGGCAGATTTTATATTCTTGAAGTTGTGTTACCTGGTAGATGATGTAAGTGGCAAGGATTGCAGATGCAATCAGTAGAGAAATTAAGATCACAACTCGAACTGCTGTGGTTGAAGTCAAGATTTTTGCCAGTTGAAGAAAGAGATATGGGATCAACGAGAGCATCATGATTCTTGCACTATCTCGGGTTTCGACATCAGCTCTTACACCAGAACCTGCACAACTATGTTTACTTACACATTAAGTTATCATATTTTAGACCTCTCTCTCAGTGAGTGTTGATTAGTGTTTGTGGAGATCAGAGAAGAAGTGAACCAGTTAAACTGAAGGGGTTCTTATTTTCTGGATTTGATGAAGTTTGAGAATCCGAGAGGTCGGAGCTACCGAAAGCAACAACAGAACCCCAAATTAGGGTAAGAATCATGATTGTTTGCTCATGTTCATTTCTCCCATTTCCTCCGCAGTTTCTGTACTTGCTGTAATTCCAGTTACTGAGGAACAAAATGTGAATTGTCGTCATGAATTTACAAGACATAATACAGGTCAAAACGTAATACTTTGATTTAAAAGTTGAAACCAAAACTTCTGAACTGTTCTCCAAATAGTCAAGCAATTACTAGGCAAGTCAAAATCATTTAAAATGAAAAAACATTTTTACTCTAAAATGTCATTCCTGGTACTATTTATTTACAACATTTTCTATTTTTTTGATTAAAACTTAAAGTTTTCAAATATTTTTCATTAGTTTTTATTTTAAACTATGAATCTTTAATACTCATTCACACTCTTAACACGCCTTGTCATGTTAAATATATAGAGGTAAGCAGCTGAGCCACAAAATTAAGCGCATGAGTTGTTGAGATCTACGATTCAACACGAGTACATTCTCTATTCTGATACCATATATATATATGTATTTATATAAAGGTGAGCAACTGAGCCACAAAATGGAGACCCAATATAATTAAACTTTTACGTAAAGCTTTAATTCCTCGAAGTTAGATTCCTCCCAATAAGATTATGGTCATCAGAGTTTAGGTACTTTTTTTTTTTTTTTTCACGTAAATTTTCAAAATTCTCTCTCTTATTTTACCTGCTCTGACATGGTCCGGGATTTGCAGAGTTGTTACTTTTGAAGGAACCGGATCCTATCTGAAATCAAAGAAATTGAGCTTAAGAATCAAATGATTCAGACCTTTGAAATTTAATTTAACAACTACAATTATTATAACTTTAGATGATTTTTTATTTTTAGCCGTTGGATCAAATTTTAATAGTTTGAATCATTTGATGAGTAGGCTTAGTTCTTTTAGGTTTGTAAGGAATCCGGTTCCCCTTTTGAATTCATTGTATATACCTGATTAAATAAAAAAAGATAGAATAGATTGTAAATATATATTATATTAGGGAACTGTTATTAGCACTCCAAAAATCTCATTCTACATCCCTCACAAATGTATTTTTCTTTTTAATTATAAAAAATTTGGAATGCCAACTATTATTTCCTTTTTTTTTTTTTGGGTAAAAGTAACTATTCTTTCCTTTATTGTATTCGGAACAAATATTAAGCTAAGAAAAATGAACCAAGCTGGCAACATTGACTAATAAAATAGTCTCCAACTTCTTGATGGATGAATATGCATGGGGGATGATTAACATTGACTATCGACCCATTAGACCATCTCCAATGGTGACTTATAATCTAAAATTTTCTCTCCCCCCCCTCCCCGCAAAAATCCACTCCAACCCATGACCCAAAATTAACCTAAAACCTAAAACTCATTTGAGGGTCAAATACCAACACAGTTTTAGGCCACAAAGTAAAATGGGCCCCACCAACTGAGACTGAAACCGGAGCTGTGACGCTCAGTTCCTTTCCCCTACTCACCTACGTGTTGCACGCGCTAGGCATTTTTAGAAAACCAACATGGCCACATGGGGGTGTTCCCCCGCCTGTAAGTGCAATAAGTAGCCCAACGGCTACTTTTTATAATCCAACGGCTACGTTTAAATGGGCCGTTGGTTAATCCAACGGTCCAGGTTCAAATTATTATTTTTTTAGTTTTATATTTATGTATTTATTGAATCCAACGGCTTAGATCGAATATAATTAAA